CTCGTAGATGTGGGGGATACAGGCATGAACAGAACAGATATGCTTCCCACCCTCAGGACAAACACACACAGAATAAGTAGGCAAAGCATTTAGTTGAAAGGTAATCCAACATAATATATAATTACAAACCTTCAATGAGGTATCTCCCTGGGGAATGTAAGGCTAATAAAAATATCATAGGGCTAATAAATGCATTGAACTTCACATTTCACAGCTTTCATTTACAAACATTTCTTGATTATAAAACATCTTTGAGAATATGAGGTGGTAACTACGTTGGTATGACTGGGAAAATGAGAGGATTTTTTTGTTACTGTCTTCCTCCTTCAGTGGAAAAACTATTTGAGAGACTTCCCAGTCATACACTCAAGTATGGAGTTTCCTTCTTGTGAATCCATCATGTTTATCACTCATGCACCTGCCGGAAAGATTAGCCTTGGAAGTGAGATCTAGAAAAAACTCTGTTGGACACCAAGGTGGTTTAGAAAACAATTTAATAGGCAAATTAGGAGGAGAAAATAACCAACTAAATACAGAAAATTGTACAGATAAATGTTGCCAAGAGGACATTTTTCTGAAGAAAAGACTTCTGGAATCAAAGAATATTATCTGCTAAATTGTCTTTGAATCATAGAGCCAGAAGAATAGTCCTGCTGCTTCATTGTATAGAAGAGGAAACTGACTCTAAGTAGATGAAATGATCCACTCAAGGTCATGAGACTTGGTGTGCCACTTGTCAACATCGTAAGTCAAATCGGCTGTTCTTACTCTTATACTGAATTGTTCCTTTGATCTTGGACTATCTACCAGCATAGACTGCAGTGCTAATTACGGACACATTGGCAGTCACTCCAGCACTTACTGTGGGTTATCTCACTGAGCACTCTTTCTGCTTTTCTAGCATGCTTTCCTCTGCTTTAGGAGTTAGGAAGCTAAAAACTCCATCCTCAGACTCCCGCATGCAGATCTGTCTGGAAGAGGTGAGCGCAGTATGTGTGGCAGTGGATATGGAAACTGGATCCTGTGCAGAAGCATTTGGTCTTCTAGGGTCGTTATGACTCAGGCTTTATTGTCTGGGCTTCAGCCATCTAAAGAATGCATGGTGGGCAGTGGTTGCATTGGTGTCTATTAAAACAATTTCCTATGAAACACATACGGCTGTATTGTTCCTGAGTGGAATTTAGCTTGGTTTGTAGGTCTTCCTGGAAATTTTTTGTACCTAACTTCCTATAATAAATCATTTTTTTACCTAATGTGGATTCTGTTCTCTGCAGCTACAAGTCATGAACTAGGTTACATAGCTTCCAAAAGAATCTTAGTGATAAAGTCCTTTAGTAAATTCACTATTAAGAACGTTGAAATTAAGCAAACTGAACAGCATGGATTAATATTTTGTATACAAGGAGTTGTGGAAGGTATAAAAAATATTTGATTCTTGCCCTTTAGACAGTAAGTAAGACATACAGTCTTTGCCTATTAAGCAATACCATGCTGGATAATACTAAGTATTTCAAAAGAATGGCCAATATGGTTAAGGAAGCTGGGATATACATGAAAAAAAAGATGTTTTCTAATAAAAGATAAACTGTAATATGTTCACCCAAGGAATACCTAATACTATGAAAGTGAACAAACTAGCAATTTAAAACTATATGGTGAATCTTTAATACATACCAAGTAAAAGAAACAAGATAAAACATTGTGAGCAAACAGCTAAACCCAAAATGTGGGACATTCTGCAGTCAGATCTAATTTTTTAAAAAGAAAATACTAATGACTTGATAAAAAGGCAGAGAGAAACAGGATTTGATAAAGATTAAAATATATTGGTGGCATAATCTGATTTTTTAGAAAAAGTCATCTTTGAAACAGGGAAATCTGAATAAGAACTGGATCTTAGATGATACTAAGAATACTAATTTTATCAATAGAGATAAAAATGGCAAAGAGGTCATTTTAAGAGTCTTAGAGATGTCCACTGAGGGTTCCTTACATTATTGTTTCTAATTTTCTATGCAATTTTCCATAACTCAAACATCTTTTCTTAAAAATGAGAAAAATATTTAGTTTACTTAGAAATTTCTCCTGGGTTCAAATGTGAAAATGTATCTATCTATAGGAATAAAGTAGAAGTTACAAATTTATGTGTCACTTAAACACATTCATGTGTCTACCATTGACTGGTAAAGTACTTACCTTTGCCAAGGCCCTGTTTCAATCCCCAGCCACAAAACCAACTAAACAAGCCAGCAGTGGTGAGGGGCATGGTGGCGTGTGCCTATAATGCCAACACTTGGGAAGCTGAGGCAGGAGGATTGTTGTAAGTTCGAGGCCAGCCTGGGCTACAAAGTGAGCTCAAGGCCTTCCTGAACTGCACAGCAAGACCCTGTCTCAAAAAGACAAAAACAAAAAAAATTAAAAACCAAAAACAAATGAACAAGCCAGCTGTGGTGACATACTCCTATAATCTCTGGAGGCTGATGCAGGAGGATCACTGCAAGTTCAAGGACAGCCTGGACTACATAGTGAGTTCACCAGCCTAAACTACATAGTAAGACCTTTTCTCAAAAAAACCAAAAACCAAACGGACAAAAAAAAAAAAAAAATCAGCTTTTCTATCATGAGGCAATTCTAGATTCATATGCAATTGTAACAAATAATTCAGAGAGATCCCTTATACCCTTCACCCAGTTTTGCCCAATGGCAATATCTTGTAGAACAGTTACAGGCTCACAATTGGTAAACTGACATTAATATAACCCATCAACCTTATCTAGAGTCTGCCAGCTTGATCTGCATTCATTTGTGTGTGCATGGGCATGTATAGTAATTTCTATGCAATTGCACCTTGTGTGGTCATACAAATGTATAACCACTACCATAGTCAAGGCAAGCAGGCTAGATGTGGTGGCACACACCTGTAATCCCAGTGCTTTGGGAGGCTGAGGCAGGAGGATCATGCATTCAAGGCTAGCCTGGGCACCTTAGTGGGGAGTAGCTGTAGTTCAGTATAAAAGCCTGGGGTCAATCTCTAGTAACACCACACACACACACACACACACACACACACACACACACACACACAGGGCAGAGCAGTCTTACTAATAGGAATCTCTGAGCTACCCTTTCCTAGTCACAGTATCATCGTTTTGCCCCACAACCCCTACCCACAGCTACTAATGTGCTGTCTCTATAGCTCTGTCATTTTAAGCTGCTATATAAATGCTACCATATAGAGTATATAACCCCTTGAGAGTGCCTTTTTTATTTTTACTCAGCATAATTTCCTTGAGCTTTATGTACTATTGCATATATCAATAGTTCATGCCCTTCTGTTGTTCTTTTGTGGTGCTGGGGATTGATTCATTCCTTTTTATTTATTTTAACTTTTTTCTAATTACTGTTATTATTGTGGCATTGGAAATTGAAGACAGGGCCTTCACATTAAGCTACATCCCTAGTCCTACGTTATTTTTAAATTTTGAGACAGGATCTCGCTAAATTGTACATACTGGGCTCAAACTTGGCAGTCCTCTTGCCTCAGCCTCCCAAGCTACTTGGTGTGTGCCACCACGGCCAGCATTCATTCCTTTGTATTGAGTAGTGTACTGTTCACCTGCTTAAGAATATGTGGATTGTTTTCAGTTCCTGGCTTTTGTTTTGTGCACACATATGCACATGTTTCTCTGGGATGAATGTCTAAGAGTGCAGTTGTTAGGTTGTATGGTAAGTGCATGTCCAGTTTCGTAAGAAACCACTAGTCTTTGCAGGACCGTTTAAATATGATTACATATATTTTTCAACACTTTGTGGAATAAGACAATCTTTCCTCTTTACTATTACTTTATGATGGCTTTGCTAAGCGGTGAGTTAAATTGAATGAAATGAGTTACTGTCTAAGAATAACGTTACATACAGGTAGGGCAGCCCTGTTAACACTGAGCCCAGAGACATGGGGCAAAAAAAGGAACTAGTGCAGGGAAAAGAGGACGGGGTTGGTCAGGCCGGGACTGCCGAAGTTCAGTGTTACATGCTGGCGGGTGTTTTGGTGTTTCCGAGCAAGGGTGCCATCACCAGTTAGGGCGAGATTAGCACTTTTGCGTATGTTTATTTTTTGTTGTTTTCTTTTCGTTTTGAGGTGGGTTTTGCGACGTCGCCTAGGGGTGGCCCCAACTTGCGATCTTCCCGCCTCAGCTTCCGGAACAGTTGTGATTACAAGCGCAGGACACCGCATCAAGCCTCGATCAGGACTTTTCGCAGATCCCTAGACGCTGGAAAGACGATTGTGCGTCCCCCTTCCCTATGTAATTAATAGTTACTCATTTAGGAAGTGAACTGAGACTTCGGACTGCCTGAAATTACAGATCCCAAGCAATCCACCAGTGCCGAATTTCTCCCCCTTTCCCTCCCTTCCCAGCTCCCTCGCTGCCCTCTGCGCGCCGGGCCCGGAACTCCGCGCCGCGCCCTGCCCGCCGCACTTTACGCTGGAGGCCACAGGTGCCAGCGGCGCAGGCCCCGCCCCGCCTCATGGAGCCCCGCCCCGCTCGCACCT